ACCACTAACATAATATAGCCCAATTATTCAGATTTGAAAACTTTTAATGTAGCAAGAGTTCCTGATGACTGTTAAGTATTTGGGTTTGGGCTAACCTCTAAGACTCATTATATTGTGTCCAGCAGAAGTAACCTGCCTGCTTGAGTATTTGGGTTTGGGCTAACCTCTAAGACTCATTATATTGTGTCCAGCAGAAGTAACCTGCCTGCTTGAGTGTGGTTGGTAGGGTAATAATATGGGTATAATAATTTATAGTTTTAATTTGAACATTTTCCCTAAAATGTCATATGGCGTGCTTGAGTATGATGTTGTTACATTACAGAACTATATACTTATGATTTTGTAATAAAAGAAGGGGTGTTATTTGCGCCAGACACTGGACTCATTGTGTGTGTGTATAAATAAAATATAGTATCACATCTGGATACTATATTTAGGTATAATATATATATCCAAATAATGCCTGATGTTGCTTATTTTAAGAAAATTGTAGGGAGCAGATTTTATTTCTCTGCCTTTTTTTCTTTGAAATCCCCAGAATTTAAAAACAATGTAGGCTGTAGTCAACACGCCCTGCAGACATGCCATGCCTTTTTCCAGGCCAGCCTGAGCCCCTGGGGCAAAGTGACTAGAACATTTTTGGAAAGGTTTTTGACATCCAGGATTAAAGTAGGTGTCTTTTTAAAAATTAAACTTAATTAACTAGGAATTTTAATGAATTTGAATACCTATTCTTTAGCAGTTTTTGTTGGTTTTTTATTTGTTTTTGTGTTGGGCTGCTCAGAGGTTGCATTTGAGGCTGAGCGTAGATACAAACAGCAGGATTTTAAAAAAATCCTCACCTGACAATTTATTTTTATTAATTTTAGAGAGAGAGGAAGGGGGTGGTGGAGAGAGAGATACAGAGGAACACTGATGCAAGAGAAAAGCATTGATTGGCTGCCTCCCGTATGTGGCCTGACCAGGGATCCAACCCATAACCTTCTGGGGTATGGGATGATTCTCCAACCAGCTGAGTCATCAGCCAGAGCAGACAGTGGGATTTTTAATGAACTTTTAACATCTCTATGAGTGGGTTGGCAAGGCTGATTTTTCAAGGGTACATTGGAGTCTGGTTATTTCTCTAGACCCCTCCTCAGTAGTAGCCTAGACCACTGGCTCTGAAACTTCTGTGTGAATTGACGTCACCTGTACTACATGTTAAAACACAGATTGCTGGGCCCTGATCCCAGAAATTCTGATCCACTAGGTCTAGGAACTACCAGAAATCTAACATTTAAAATTATTTTCCAGGTATGTGGTCCAGGGACGACAGGTTGAGAACCACTGACCTGGATCTAAAACACACACCACATCAGGGTTGGAATGTTTGCTAAAACTAGACTATTGACCCAGAGTCTTGATTTGGAAAAATCTAGATGCTTCTGCTGGTGGAGCATTCAAAAGTGCCTTTGACAGCATTCAAAGTACAATAAAAATACCAGTGTCTGCACATTTCTAAGCTCCACAGTAAACAAAAGAAAACACTTCCAAACAAAATTTTTTCAACATATCAGCAACTGCACATTCCAATGGCACCTACTTACCTTTGGGGTTTTCTGGGGCAGTTTATCAGATGATTGTCCTCAAAGGAAGAGAATGTGCTTGCAGAAGCATCTGGTTAATCTCTCTTTTGAGCACAGTGTCTGGGCTTTTATTATCTCCATGAGCAGTTTTAGAGGGTTGGCTGATGGGACCTACGCGTGATTGTCTTGGCATGATCCTAAGAGGGAGGTGGGGGGAGAATGACTGCTGAAGGTGGAGCGAATTCTCAAACATCTTAATTTTTATCAAAAATTCATCCACAATTGATACACAATTACTTGAGCTGAAGAACAAAATTGGATTTCAAGGACTCCTGTGTTATTGCTAATAAGGGGATCAAATACTCAGAACTTTAGAAACAGAAGGGACCCTAGAAGTCATTGATTCTCAAACTTTGTAAAGCCACATCCTTTCACCAAAATATCCTAGAAAAGCCAATGTATAGGGCCAAAGCAGAGATGCTCTTCTTAAGGAGATGATGGTGGGACAGACACCCTACCCACCCAGCAACCCTCCACCCTCAGAGCCCCTTCAAGCAACTCCCTGGAACCTGAGGGATCTGCAAAATTTGGCTCTAGTCTGCCCTCACAGATGGGGAGGCTAAGTCCAGATTTCCCAGTTGGTCACATATTCAATAGCTAGTTAATGAAAATTAACAGAAGACAATGGGACTAGAATCTGTCTTGGACTTGTCTCTACTAGTCAAGAGCTGAGTACAGAGTTCTTATCCAACCTTCCGAGACACTGAAGGCCAGCTGAAGGACTCACCCATCTCCTGTCCCTCAGTGGCGGAGGGTCACTCCAGGGGTGCTAATGCCTACACTCTGGACTGTGCCTCCTGCAGATCACACACATTTCCATAGCCAGAGAGATACAGGAAGCTGCCAGTGTGCTCAGCATGTCTGAGTGACGTTGGGGGTGGCCTAGGGGAGATGGACAGGGCAGATCAAGTATGTAGGGGCCATCTTTACCCAGAGACACTAGCTTTGTGCCTGTCTCATGGGAGACAGAGGTTTCCTGACTGTCCTGCCTGTACCTGCCACAGATTGGCTCTGGATCTTGTGGTCCTTCCTTCTTTCTGTCTTGTCACCCAATGTTGGCATTCCTGGTACCCATGAAAAGATTTCAGAGTCTTCAAAGGAAAGGATTTGGTAACTGTAAATTAGAGTATAGAGAGACTGGGAGATTCACCGTGGAGCAGAAACCTGGCCCACTGTGCCTAAAATTAATCCTACAGAGCTGTGTTGTCCAGCCTGGGAGCCACTGTCTGTGCATGGCTGTGAGGGATGGGAATGCAGACTATTCAAGTTGCAATGTGTTATAAAGTTGCAATGTGTTATAATATATACTGTGTTTTAAAGATCTAGCCTGAGAAAAAGGATACAAAGTACTCGGTAATAAATTAAAAATATTGATTACATGATGAAATGTGAATATTTTGGGTATATTGCATAGAAAAAAGTATTAAAATTACTTTCACTCATTTTACTTAATGGATCTACTAAAAAATTTAAAATTATGCCTGAGGCTTGCTGTTTAGGAATAACTTAATTTTTACTTGCTTAAATCTATGCAAAAAGGATTACTTTAATATACATTCCTAAAGGTTGCAAATTAACTGATGTGATATTGTAGAACTCTTAAGTTCTTTAAGGTAAGCTCAGAGTTCTTTTTTAGTAGATAAAATAGCTTCAAAAGTTTGAGTTGGGTCAGGGTTAGCCAGTCCTCTACAATCTTGCTGATGTTTCAGACCATATTCTCACAGGCATATATTTCTTAAGTAATGATTATTTTGCTGTTGGCTGCTAAAAGTTTATACAGCCTGTTTTCTAGGTTCCACGAAGTCCTGACTCTTCAATGTTTTAGGTGCTAAGGTAACACTTTGCATGAAAAGTTTATTCAAGACAGGCGATCCAAGAATCAAAATTTTAGTATCCTTATTGTCAGCATCAGACATTCTAATATCTTCTTTCTCGAGTGGTCTTTTCAAGAACAACTAAGGAATCAAGTGTCTTTTCTAAAGAGAGCAGGCCAGAGGCCTTCCTGGAACCTAACCCTATTAGTGCAATGATGGGAGTGTCTCAAAATATCGTAACCAGTTCACATACCTGACTCTCTCTTTCTTTTCTTTTTAAGATTATTTATTTATTTTTAGAGGAGAAGGGAAGGAGAGAGGGAGAGAAATATCGATGTACGGTTGCCTCTCGTGTGTCCCCTGCTGAGAACTGGCCTGCAACCCAGGCATGTGCCCTGACTGGGAATCGAACCGTGGTTGTTTGGTTCTCAGGCCCAAGCTCAATCCACTGAGCTCCACCAACCAGGGCATACCTGACTCTCTTAACTCTGTTCATGCTGGGGTGGAGAGGATATTAAGTATTTTAGCCAAACCATGTATCTACCTTTATTAATGAGAGCTCATTACTAACATGTGCCATGCTTTTAAACAAGTCATTAATAAGTCAGTAAAAAATCACTTAGGAAGGCCTTAGGTATTGGCAGGCATACATGGGAGAGGTGTCTCAGGAGAGTGACAGTCTTGAGGAACCCAAGTAATGTTTACCCATGATATGGAACTGGACCACTGAAGTGTTTAAGTCAACTCCAGTCACCACAGCACTATTTTAAGAGCATAAACAGCTCTTCAACCTATTTGGTTTACCCAAACAAGATCAATGAAAGAAAAATTGGTCTATTAATAAAAAAATTTGACAAGAACATTCAACCTTCTCTCCTATGTGTCATTTCCAACTTTAAGGAAAAAAAATGCTGTTCCCCACAGCAAACATTCTTTAAAAATGCGTTATAGGTACATAGTCTCAGGGTGAGACAATAGTCTTTGGGAGAAAATTATTAAATTGAAGGTTTCAATGTTAAGGGAAAACTATTTCTTAGTCTTAGAAACTTAATGATGATGAGATATACAATAAGTATAGATGTAACTTAAATTTTAAGATTATTGGTATGTAACTATACCCTAACTTTGTCACTGATCTTTCTGTATCAAGGTTTCTCAACCCTGGCACTATTGATATTTTGGACTATGGGGCTATCCTGTATATTGTAGGATATTTAGCAGCATCCTTGGCCTCTACTCACTAGATGCCAGTAGTAACACCCCACCACCCAAGTGGTGACAGTAAAATGTCTTCCGGCATTGCCTAATGTCCCTTGGGGGCCAAAAATCACTTCCCGTTGAGAACTGCTATTATAGACCAGGTCTAATTGGCTAACCTAATGCCTTTCTAGAAATGCAGAATCTTTGACCCCTCCCAGACCCACTGAACAGCAGTCTGCTTTTTAATAAAACTCCAAGTGGTCTGTGGATACACACAGCTGGCCAATTTTACTTTACACCCATCTTGGATGCCTCCACTGTGCCCCTGCAGATTTGGATGTGTGATGCTTTCTCATTGCAGGAAGCTGATGAAGCCTTACTGCATAATCTGCGCCTTCAGATTGAAGCCCAGTTTCTGCAGGATGATATCAGTGCAGCAAAGGACATGTACAAAAAGGTAACCGTGACTTTTCTGAAGTTCTTCCTCCAGGAAACAACCCAGTTTGGGTTTGGCTAGGCAGTCCAGGGCACTTGTGGCTAAAAAGTGAAACTACTAGCGTGGGTTACTTTTGTGTGCTTTGCTGCTGAATTAAGTGGGTGATGGGTTGGTTGCTAGATAGCTCTTAGTGAGCCAGACATGTGTGGAGGAGGCAACAGTGTGTTTGTGTTGGGTGTGGTGGTGGGAACTAATATCTGTATAGTATACTACAGTTCACAGAATGATTTTTTAATAAATCCGTCTTGGTTAACCTGCAACCTGTTCATTGTTTCAGCTCAAAAAATACATAAAAGCAGAAAATACAGTATATAGGGTTCAGCACAAATAACACCCCTGTTTTTTTAAGGATGGTCTTTTTTTAAAAGATTTTATTTATTTATCTTTAGAGGGGAAGGGAAGGAAAGAGAGAGAGAAATATCAATGTATGGTTGCCTCTCATGTGTCCCCCACTGGGAACTGGCCTGCAACCCAGGCATGTGCCCTGACTGGGAATCAAACTGTGATCCTTTGGTTCTCAGACCTGTGCTCAATCCACTGAGCTGCAACAGCCAGGGATAACACCTCTATTTTATTACAAACTCTTTTATTATAAAACCATAAGCATGTGATTCTGTAACATAGCAATATCACATGCAAGCACACCATATGACATCTTAGGTGAAATGTTAACATTAAAACCATAAATTATTACATCCATATTATTACCCCACCAACCACACTCAAGCAGGTGTTGTGTCTGCCAGTCCCTGTTTATATATATTTTAACTCTTCCTCTGAGCCAGTTAATTGAGGAGATGCATGGCATCCAGGAGCCTCCTTTCATGCAGTGTTCTTCTCTGCCAGCTCCTTACAGGCCTGATTTGGTGGGTGTGGCACTTTGGTTTACTGGAAAAATAAAATTCTGGACCTGTGTGATCATGGCCAAGCAGCTTAACCTCTCTGAGCATTTTTATCTTCAAAATGCAAATGACAGACTATCTTTCCTGCATGGCAGTGTGGTTACTTCAGTGTGGCTGACCCGTGACCACACTGATCTCTCCAGTGGGCTGTGTCCTCCCTCTAACTGCTATTATCTGCAGCTCTGCCCCAGGACTTTTTACAGGAAGCAAGGGCTGCTCCCTCTCATGGGACGTGTTGGAAAATTAATGCCCCTGGGAGCAGCCTTAGTCAGTGATGAATGTGAGTTGCTGGATATGTCCCCCAGCTCCCTCTTACCTGCTGTTCTGTACTGGCTTCCAGAGGTCCACAGTGGGCCTGACATGCAGGTGCCCACAGCAGTAACTTAACTGATAGCACACCCTTTCTTGGCTGCCTTCTCTTCCCTGTCTCACCTCCTCACTCTGCTACTCATGTTTACTGTTATCTTTGCCCAAATAAGTTATTTGCACTCAGACTGTTTCCTTAGGCTCTGTACTTAGCTCAAGCTGCTGTAACCAAGTACCACAGTTTGGGTGACTTTTATTAGCAGCAGAAATTTATTTCTCACAGTCCTGGAGGCTGAGACACCAGTATCAGGGTGTCAGCCTGGTCAGGTTCTGATGAGGGCTTACCTGGTGAGGCCTTTCCTGGGAGCATGTGTTTTCACCAGGAGCAAAGCTCTCTGGTGCCTCTCCTTATAAGGGCACTAATCCCACCATGGCACCTTACTGTCGTGACCAGCTCTAAATCTAATTATTTCCCAAAGGCCCAACCTTCAGATACCATCTTACTGCATGTTAGGACTTCAGTGTGTGGATTTGGGAGGGATACAACATTGAATGTATAATAGTGTACTTCTGTGGAAACCCAAACTTGAGGTTATGTGATAATTGAGGTTATGTGATAACCTGGTATAACATGGACCTTGGCCAGTGCTCATCAAGCCTTAGATTCTTTTCCTGCCTCAGTATAGACCTGCTTCAGCATGAAGGCAGTCCTCTTACTTTGCACTGAAGGGATGTTCCCCTCCCTTCGGCTTTTTCCAACTTTCCATCAGTCTGGTTCCTCCTTTCCTGCCTTCTGCTTCTGCTCTCTTTCTGGAATCCTGGGAGCAGTGCCTGGGGGGCAGTTTTTAGCAGCTAAAATCATTCTTCTAGGCCATTAACAACAACAACAAACAACAACAATAATGTTGGGCATTCATGCTATGATGCTTCCATGCATTACCTCATTGGATCCCAACAGCAGCCTCATGAGATAGTGTCTTAGATCAAGTTTTCTCCGTCAGCAGAGCCTAAGGTGGCGATTTTTCTTCTGTGTGTGTGATTGCTGCCTGGGTGGAGAGTACCCAGGAGAAGGGGAAGGAGGAAGCAGAATAGGACAGCGCAGGGGTAGGAACTGGGCAGGGGCCCAGGCCCAGCTGGAGCCTTGGCCTGATTCCACCACAAGGTTGGGGGCTCTGGGTCATGAGTCCCATCACAAGGTTGTTCCCTCCTTGAGGCAAGAGCGTAGGTCTTTTGTACTCCTGTGCCAGCTAGTCACTGGCCTGGGTTGGGAATGAGTACCCACTGGGAGCCTGGACAAGATAACCATTGTTTGGCCCAGGGCAGTGCTGTGGAGGGGGCACAGCTGAGAGGCAGTATTAGTCCTCAGCACACAGCTGGGCATAGGTGCTCTTTAGATAACCCACTTTCACAGTAAAGCTTGAGTTTAGGAGGTATAAGTAGCTGGCCCAACTGACCAAATTCTGTCCTTTGAAACACTGCCCTGTTCTGGTGTCAGAAAGGGTTCTTTGTACCCTCTGGGGCTTCTTTGTTCTGCATTTCTGCTTTTCTTTCATACTCCTGCCTGCAGGGCTCTATGAAGATAGCAATAAAGCATCCACTTAATGGAAGAGAAATGGTGACGTAAATAAACCAAGCCTCAGTTTATTCATCCGCCCTGTTGATCCTGTGAAGATTAAAGATGTAAAACGCCCTGTGAGGAGATCGTGGCCTGTCCTATTTGTGACAGTAGAACATGTGAAAACATTCGTCTCTGGGGTCACCTAGTCCTCGGAGGAGAAACTCGGGCAGTGCAGGTTTTAATGAGAATGCTTTCTTTCCTCCAACAGAATCTTCTGGAAATTCAGACCTATGTCAGCATTCTGCAGCAGATCATCCAGACCACTCCTCAAGCATCTGCCATTACAGATGGGATGAGGGAGGTAAGAATTGGAACCCAGGCTATAGGGAAAGCATGTCTGGAGATTCGTCTTATAGCACCATGGACCTAGTTCACAGACATCCAGGGAGAGGCAGCAGGTCCGACAGTGCAGAGTTGTGGTGGGTTAACTCCTCCTCACCCCGAATTGACATTCACATTAGAAGTTTACTCTTGTTCTCCTATTCAGACTGTGAACACTTCCCTTTAGACATCTGAGGACATCTAAACTGTGTCCCTGACCATTTTCTTAGGAGTTTTTCTCTTGAAAATCCCAGACTATTCTTCCTTGTATAGTTGATAGAAATTGCCAGACTGTTCCCCAATGTAGCGGAGCTTGCTTCATCCACACTGGCAATGTTTGGGAGTTTGTGTTGCTTCCGTCATTTGCGGTGCTGAGTGTGTTGGGTATTTATTTGTTTTTGCTTGTTGCTCTTCTAATAGAGACGTTGTGCGTCTCACTGTGGTTTCAACTACCTCTCCTAGTGATTAATGATGTTGAACATTTTTTCATGTCCTTATTTGCCATCTCTATATCTTCTTTGTTGGAATATCTGCTCAAGTCTTTTACCCACTTTTAAATTGGGTTGTTTTCTTATCCCTCTTATGAGTTTGATCATAAAATTGAATACAGAGAGACGCAGATAGTAGTGACTATATATTTTCAAGGTCTGGCTCTGCTAATGATTATGCAAGTTTATGGCTTAAAAACTATTGGGGAACAATAGAGGTTATTGAAGCTAAATTTTAAAAAGTGGGGGTTTGGATGTAAAACATTATTCCCTACATAGTATTCCACATTCCTTCTCTACTCAGCTCTCTAGCTGCTCAACAGGATGCTGATGTATTTTTTTAAATGAGTTTTAGGGATTTTGTGATACATAATATGATACATTTAAACATACACTGAAAAGGATACAGATTAAAACAAAATGTTATTTTTTCCTTTTTCTGGAGGTTGTAGTATTCTGAAACAGGGATTTGTGGACAGGTCAGCTGATAGGGTTCTGTTTTTTTTGTAAGGGTGGCTTAGACAGTGCCTTGCAGCCCTGCTGACAAAGTCTGGCCAGACCACACATCGCCTGTAGAACTAGTGGGCTACTGTAGCTGACTGCTTGAGTTTTAACTTAAACATTTTAATATCAAAGCTAAAGAAATCCCCAAATTTGCTTTCGAAGACACTCTGTCAAGGTTCTCCTGAGAGACAGGAAAGTTACTTTTCTGGGCCTTCATTCAAATATTTTTGTCCACTAATATTCATTTCGGGTTCCAACTCTTTTCAGCTGATGTAACCGGGGCTGCTGCACAGGCCTAGAGCAGCCTTTCCTAAAGCCTTAATTTTCCTGGTCAGCGACTTCTTTCCAGATACCCCTCATTTTTATTTTGCAAACACTTTTTTTTCCTGTAATTGAAAGGTGTTTTACACCAGAGTATACTTTTAAAATCATATCATCTTTTCTCTATAACAAAATTCTTCTGAATTGTGAGGTTACAGAAACTGGTCCTATTTTGAGAGCATCACTGATCATCAGTGTTTATTAGCATCACCCAGGAACTTGTTAGAAATGCATAATTTGCATAAGAATCTGCATTTTAGACAGATCTTTAGTAATCCATGTTCATGTTAAAGGTGGAGAAACAGGTTTAGAAAGCATTACATTTTTTTTATTAATCTTAGCTTAAAACCTGTGCATACAGTTAAATAGTGACTTTCAGGTTTGTTTCATTGACTCTTGTTGGTGTCCTAGAAAATGTCTGTCACGTTGGCTGAGAAAATGAGGAATGTAATTAGTGGTGCTAATTATAGAAACACAGCTTAACTGGTTAATGTGTCAATAAGCATAATGTCAGTACCCTCTAACCAGAGGCCACTGGGTATACACCTGTGTTCACATGAAGCTGAGCTCATTTTCCACTGCAGGGAGGAAGGATGTACACTGTGGAGATTTGAGGGACATCCTGTATGATCTGCGGGGAGGGGTCAGGTGAGCAGGGCCCTGCTCTGTGTTGGGTGCTCTCAGGAAGGGCTGGTCCTATGACTATCTTGATAATTTCTATCAAGGTGGCAGAAGAGTGGAGTGTGGCTAAAGCTGTACTTGGTGATTAAGCGGCATCTCTTGCGTCAGTAGGGAGAATGGACAGTTGGCCATTTTTGTGGTTGTATAGAGGTCTTTTGGTCTGAGCTCAGTGATAGTTAGCAAGGGCCTTGTTTCTGTCTTGTTCCTCCATGGGCCCAGAGTGACATCTCTAGATATTGGGGGTGGTGTGGTTTATAAGTGTATAGTAGGGACCATCATGGCCTGGCGGTTAGCGCCAGCTGTCAGCTGACAGCTGCAGGGCTGTCTTCCTTCCTCTTCAGTAATTATCCAAGGGACAACTACATGAGAGGCACCCTGTGGGCAGCTGTGGGGAGGGATGTGAGATGAATAGGAGCTGGGCAGTGAGGAAGATGGGGCCAGAGAAGCAGGCAGGGCGCTGGAGGTGGGCAGTGTAACGCATTCACACTGGGTCTGCCTCTAGTGTGAGGCTGCAGGTCTAGAATTCATGGTGTGGTATATATTCTCCATCTACTGGTACACAGGAGGATGACACCCCTTCTGTTCCCAGCCGTGCTCTTGTCTGCATCTTTGAGGCAGGGAGATGGGGACTGAGACACGCAAATAGGACAGACACAAACAATCATAGACTGAGAGCAACTGAGAGCCATCGAGAGCATGCATTCTTTCATGCACTGAGAAGCATGGAACTAAGGATGCACAGTTGAGAAGGTCCTTCTGCAGTTACGTCTCAAGTCCTGCCTTCCCCGTGGGATTGGCCCACAGGCCCAGACTCTCGCTTCCTCCCTTTAAGCACGTTTGTCTTGCTCTGTCTTCGTGTGTATGTTGTTGCTCCAGCCACTTTGCAGGGTGTTGGAGAGTAGGGGATTGACTTAAACATGTGGCCTTGAACATGGGTGCACTGGGAAAAGGCTTGTTTCTGATTTTACCTGGCTGAGGCCGTACGCTCTGTGTCAGATGGCACTGCTTTTGTGAGTAGTCAGGCTTTCATAAAGCTATTTGGACTTTTTTGAATAGACTATGGAGAGGCCTGTTGGAAACAGGTCCCTGCTCTGCAGAGTGTGGAGATGTTGAGGGACCCCCTTCCAAGACACTCCATGGAGCACTGGTAGGTGGTGCAGCTGCCTCACCAAGTCCCCAGCTTCCGTTGATCCTCTTGACTTCTGCTTTGTGCAGCAGTGACATTTTAGCACAATCAGTGACTTAGGGCTCAGACTGAATGTGCTGTCTGCACAGACACAGAGAACAGAGCCCAGTGAGAACCCGCATTCTAAGTTTTCCTTTTGACAAAAGGGAAGGTGCCTTGTCCAGAATCTCTCATCCAGTTTGTGGCACTACCAGCTCTAAAACACAGGTCTCCCAACACCATCTCTGCGCCTCTCACACTCACAGCGTTAATAGCTCAGATGTTGCAGACGAAGTGAAAAGGTGTTAACAGTGGCCATGGTGGGCCTGTCTTAGTCAGCTTGGGCTGCTGTAACAAATCCCAGAGACTGGGTCACTCAAATAACAGACATGTATTTCTTATACTTCTGGGGCTGCAAGTCCAAGATCATGGTGCTGGTAGATTTGGTTCCTGGTGTGCACCAATTTTCTGGCTTGCAGATGCCACTTTTCTGCTATGTCCTCAGGTGGCCTTTCTGTGGTATGGCACAGAGAAGGAGCACTCTGGCATCTTTACTTGTAAGGACACTAACTGATCCCATCCTGGGGGCCCCACCTTCAGACCTTATCTAACCTAGTTGCCTCCCCAAGGTCCCACCTCCACATACCATCCCACTGAGGGTTAGGGTTTTAGCATATGAATTTGTAGGGGGGGGACGTAAACATGCAGAATATAACAGGACCCCACACCATCCTTGCTCCTTTCCTTTGTGAGTTTCCTCATTTATCAAATGAGTATGAGAACTGAGTATGAGAGCTGAGTCTGGCCTTCTTTCTGCAGGAGAAGCTCCTGACAGAACGAGAGGTGGCTGCACTGCAGGGTCAGCTGGAGGAGGGCCAGGGGGTACTGTGTCTCCTGCAGGCACAGAGAGCCGAGCTGCAGGCCCAGGTAGGTCCTGTATCCTCTCATCTGCTGTTTCCTGTTGGGCACTCAGGCACACATGTGAATCAGGGTTTACAACATGTTTTATTCAATGTCGGGGCATGCACGAAAGTACACACGTATTCAGTCCAATGATTCTCAGAAACTTAACATACCTATGTGCCCAGCGGTCAGAGCTGGAAATACACTCTGAATAGGGTGACAAGCTGTCCAGCTTCGCTCTGGACTGAGGGGTTTCTCAAGGATGCAGACTGGAAAAGTCCTGGGCAAATGGAGGCAGTGGCCTTACTAATTTGGCCCCTTGGAGGGTCCCCTTGCAACCCCTCACCTACCAAGGGTAAGGCCATCTGCATAATCCATCTGCCTTGTGCCTAGTTTAAACTTAAACTTGTTTTCAAAAATAAGAAGAAAGAGACACATGTTGGGATTTTTATCCTATGCTTCCTCAGATCTGTGCTTTCTGTTTCTCTTCTCAAGATGAACATTTTCCCTTTGGGTTGTGATTACAGACCTAGTAAAGGGTATTTGTGTCAGTATTTGCTCTATTCAGAATTCGTTGGTAGAAAGTTCACAATTCCACCCTTGCCTTTTATTTGGGTGAATCTTATTTTGAAAACCGAACTCAGTAGAAAAACTCAATCCTGTTTTCGTGGTACACCATTTTGGTGACTCGGTAGTGTTTGGTTTCTTCAGAGGTCCTGAAAGGGTACAGAGAAAGGGTGTGTGTGTGGCGTATCTAATGTATGTATGTATAATGTACACATGCACATGTATATTTATGTATATGTACACATATGTGTGTGCACACGTGTGTGAGAAGTCAGAAGAATCAACTGGAATTAAAAAAGAAATGGACAATATCAGACTAAGATAGTAAAGAAATAACAAAGTGCATGGCAAGTAAAAAGGTAGGATTTGTTTTGCGAAACCTTGTTTTAAATAAATATGTATGTGCATTTAAATGTATATATTTGTTCAAATTCACACACGTATTTGTATGGTATGTATGGTTCATGATGTAAAATGCGTTGCTTCCTGTGGCCCTGGTCATAAAGATGAAAAACCAGTCTCCCAGATTCTGAGAAAGATGAGGCCCCAGCCTAACGTGGTGAATTCTAGTTCCAGGGCAAAAGAATGTTTCTTCCTTTATGTACATATGGATAGTTGTTTAATATATAAATAAAACATTTCATAAAGGATTAACCTACTTTCTGAGAATATGAAACAAAACTCTGGTTGATGACCTGTCTTCACATGTAGTTGCTGCAGAAAGACTTACTCATTTCACTCTGATTTTGTTTTCTTTTCTGTGCTGTGCCCCCCACTGGTGGTCTGGCGAAGCCCCTAGACCCCTTCTCAGAAAAATGTTAAAGGCATAAAAGAAAAATAAGGTACATACAATGAAAAGGAAACCAATGATATTGAAACAGTTATCAAAATAGTGCCAAGTCATATCCTATATAGTAATATATGTGCTTATGTTAAATACAGTAGTCTCTTCTTATCTGTGGTTTTACTTTCCACTGTTTCAGTTATATGCAGTCAACTGTGGTTCAAAAATATTAAGTGGAAAATTCCAGAAAAAAACAACTCATAAGTTTTCAATCGAGTGCTGTTCTGAGTAGTGTGACGAAATCCTGTGCCATCCCTCCCTCTCCCACCCAGGATGTGAATCATCCCATTGTCCAGTGTCTCCACACACTGTAAGCTCTCCGTCCATTAGTCATTTAATAGCTGTCTGGGTTATCATATCCACTGGCTTGATATCACAGTGCTTGTGGTCAAGCAACCATTATTTACTTCATTGTGGTCCCAATGCACAAGAGTAGTAATGCTGGCAATCGGGATCCACCAAAGAGAAGCCGTGTAAAGTGCTTCCTCTAATTGAAAAGGTGAACGTTCAGCACTATCTGTGGTTTCCGGCATCCACTAGGGGGTCGTGGAATGTATCCCCAGGTAGAAAAGGGAGGACTCTGTAGCAAACTCTAGCAGCGGGTCTAATGAAACACAGGTTGTATTAGTTTTCTCTTTCTGCCATAATGAATTACCACAAATACAGGGACTTAAAACAGCACCTCTTAATCTTACAGTTCTGAAGGTCAGAAGACTGGGCAGGCTTGGTTGTTTGCTCTGCTCTGGGTCTCAGAGGCTGAAATAAAGATGTTGGCCTGCCTGGGCCCCCTTACTGCAGGCTCTTGGGGAGAATTGCTTCCAATGTCATTCGGGTTATTGGCAGAATTCAATTCTGTGTGCCTATAGGACTGAGGACCCTATTTCTTTGCTGGCCTTTGGCTAGGAGTTCTAAAAGTCACATACATTCCTTGGCTATGCCCCCCTCTATCTGGAAAGCCATGGTGCCGAGTCTTTTTTGTGCATTTAATCATTCTGACTTCTGTTTGTTAAGGGCTCATGTAATTAGAAATAGCTAGAATAATCTTTGTATTCTTTTAACATCAACCGAGCAAGCACTTTAATAACGTCTACAAAGTCCCTTTTGTTGTGTAACAAACATTCATGAAGGTGATACCAAGGGGCAAAGGTCCTGGGGACTGAAATTTTGCCTAATCAGCTTTAATTAAAATATAGATGTGTCTGGGCTTACCCAAGAGTTTCTGACTCTGTAGGGCTGGGGTGTGGCCCAAGAATTTGCATGTCTGTTTCTGGGTGTTGCTGCTGGTCCAGGAACCACACTTGGAGACCACTGAAGCACGGTGGGTACCAGGTTGGGTCAGAATCTTCTACATCTGGTCTGCCTGAGTGTCTAGCTTGGTCTCACCACAGCCTTAGTTAGGAGGTGTTCATGGCTGGCTTTCTGCCAGTTTTAAAAAGATTTTAGTGGCTTCACAAAGTAGTAACTCAATTGAGTGCTCAAAGACAGATTTGGTGATGTGGCCAGCTAGGATTGCCAGACTTGGTTGGCGGGGAGAGCCTGTTGTAGCCTGAGGGCTCCAACTGGGCAGGGCTGCGGCAGCTGGTTCTGTCTCTAGTTAGGGCATATGATGCTTCCAGAACCTTCCATAGCAGCAGCCTCATGGTGAGGTCTCTGAACCAGCAGCATCAGCATCACCTGGGAACATGACAGAACTGCAAATTCATGGACCCATCCCAGACCTTCTGAACCAGGAGCTCTGTGCCAGGGGCCCAGCAAACTCTGTTTCAATAGGCCCTCCAGGTGTTTGCACAGGCTCAAGTTTGAGAATATTAGTCCACAGGATGAGATAGCACTCATCCCTTTGGGGATGGCACTTCTTATAGGTGGAAGAGAAAGGGCAGGTGCTTCTGGTTCCCTGAATTGCAGTGACTGAGAATTTCCTTGACAGGAAAGTGAAAAAATGTCAGTGGTTACTTGGAAAGTGTGAACTTCCAAACCAGCAGGATATATTCTCATTGGATATATACCCTTAGCACCACCTAGTGGTAGACATAGTAAGGTAGTAAAACTGCATAATTAGTAAAGGATACCGGATTTCTTTCGTTTCCTTTTAAAAAAACTGTACTTGAACAATAATTAAATAAATTTAAAAAATAAAGAAAAATTTGGACCCGAAGGAGTCTGGGACCTTTAGAAGACTGAAGCAGAAGGTCACTCTGCCAGATGGGGCTCACTGTGAAGTGCTGTCCTGGGTCCCTGTCTACCCCTACTGTGCAAAGGCAAACCGCACAGCTGTGCTTGAACACTAAATCTTTTATTCGACCCTTACTGCCAAGCTTTGGGTGAAGTTCAAGTTGCCACATGGCCCACACCGTCCACCTGCCTCTCTCGGTGTTCACCTGCCTGCTCTTCTCCAAGGAGCCCGGGACTGGCTGTGGGCTGCTGTCTCTTCTCCTTGGCCTCTCTGACTCCTCCTGCAGTTCCTGGCACCTGCCACCTTGCTCATCTCTTCTCCTCTTTCTGGAAATTCGTTTTCTTTTTTAGTACCCAGGACTGGTTCCACCACCTCCTGGAAGCCTTCTCTGAGTTCTTCAGTGCCCCAGGGCCTCTCTGTGTGCTCCACGATGCCCTGGGCATGTGTCCGTGCCTGAGCTGCTTCCCCCACTGGACTGCGGGCCCCTACAGGGAGGGTCCGTGTCTCATTCTCCAACAGACAGGCTGGTGCTGGATGGTGTCCTGCTCCTGTGCCGAGGTTGCTCAAGTCAGAGACATCGCCTTAGCCCCCTTGGAGCTGGTGAAAGTGGGGCTCTTACTATTTTTCCTAAACACCCCTCCTTCTGAAGAATAGTTTAAATGACTGAGCTGTAAGGACCACACTGATGTGGACATAAGCCCAGTGTTATAAACCTGGGCATCACTGGACTATGGAATTTTGGTTTACTTGGGCAGAACCATGCAGAGTACCAGGGCTTGGTCACAGACTAGAAGTTTTCTGTGGAGCCTCCCTACCAGGGCAGATGATTCTCTTACCGACCCCATCACAGGACAGCAAGCAGCCAGCCACCAAGGCGTGAGATACAAGGAAGATCATGCTGTCCTGATGGTCCAAAGATTATAGATGACATTTTCCTAGTTTCTGATTTTCCAAATTGTGACAACACTTTGCCACCCTATTTATGGTTTTAAAGTTTGCTAAGTGAACACACATAGGGAGGGGTTTGATGGGGGTCTCACCAAATCACCTGTGTCTTCTGTGAGAGCAGGCCAGTGGTGCTTGCCTGTCAATCTGTGGAGTTTTCTCTGGGCCTTGGAGTGTGTGTGTGTGTGTGTGGGGGGTATATGTGTGTGTGTGTGTGTGCATGCGTGCACACTGCTTGCCTACAGCTAGGAGGAGGCCTAGGCAGCAGGGTCTGTGGTTTCTGGAAGTATCTTAGCCTGTACAGGTGGGTCTAATTCCCACTACTTATGTGCCTCAATTTCCTCATGTGTAAAGTGGAAATAACAACTGCCTTTGGGTGCTGATGCAAATGTAAAGAGAGGGAGCTCAGTTTGCACATTCCTCTTTGGCTTAATGATTCCAAAATGATTCCAATGCTGATGAGAAAAGAAATAAGCAAACAAAATAAATAAAACTTGACACACTGAGTCCGCATTTTCCCTGTCAAGTGTGGGTCTTAAATGAGAGGATGTGATGGGTTTTCTTACAACTGTCTTTGCCCACAGACAGTGACCCTGGAACAAGCTATTAAAGATGCTCACGAGTGTTACGAAGATGAGATTCAGCTGTATAATGAACGAATTGAAACCCTGCGGAGGGAGATTGAAGAGACTGAGAAGAGCCTGGAGAAGTCTTCCTATGACTGCCGGCAGCTGGTGGTCACCCAGCAAACCCTGAAGAACGAGCTGGACCGGTATCATCGGATCATTGAGAACGAAGGCAACAGGTGTGGTCACAGAGGGGCACAGCCAAGAGGTTGGCTCTCTCTCCATGCTGCTCACTTATTTATGCCACACATTCTTGTTGAGTGCCTCCTGCGTGCCAGTCCTAGGCAGTGGAGGTGTGGCAGGGAGTGAAACACAAAAATGCACGACCTCATGGAGATTGCATACTAGTGGGGGCAACAGATAATGAATGAATTTGTATCGGGGAGGATGACCTATGACAAGTGCTGTGGAGGAGATTATGGCAGGGAAGAGGGAAAGGAAATGAGGTGATGGTGGGACTGTTTGAAATTTTGAGTTGGGTAGTTGGGAGAGGCCTCACAGAGAAGGCTACTTTTTGCTTGACAGGTCTCTGGGGACATAGTAGATATGGACATAAGTCCATAAGCAGGAGTGTTTAAAGAGGTGCTGCAGGTGAGGTTCCTAGTACAGTGCCTTGTACTCCACAAGTGCTCTGAGTGTTGGTGCTATTCCTGCTACTGCCAGCATGATTTTTACCACCTGGTTGGGTCTGTAAGGTGGCCATTAATATGCTATCTGGTCTTGTCCGTAGTGGAGCTGTGGCTTGAACTCCACTCACTTGAAGCTGGGAAATAAATACCTGTCTATCTCTATCTTTGTCTCTATGTATCTGTACATCATCTATATCTATAGCTTTACCTATACCTACATCTTCTATGTCTACATTTACATCTGGATCTACACCATCTATATGTATGTGTACATTTATGCCCACATCTACATTACCTACATCATCTACATATATGTCTGTATCATCCACACCTATACCTATCGATATGTCATCTATATCTGTATGTATAACTACACTTAAACTTATATCTACATTATCTACATCTATATCATCTATTCTTATACCTATATCTATATTATCTATATCTATATCTACACACTACATTATCTACATCTGTATCATCTATATTATCTGCAATCACATCCTCTAAGTCTATACCTATACCTTCACCTATATCTACATCATCTACCTGTACATCTGCACCTACAACTATATTATTTACATCTACATGTAATTATCTATACCTACACCATCTCCACTCACACCTAACATGATCTACATCTACATCTAAATTATGTGTATCAATACCTACACCTCCATCATCTATATTTACACCTTTACATACATGTGCCTCTATGCCTACATCATGTACATGTACATCAGTAACTACAGCCACATTATTTGTATTTATACCTACATATATGGCTGTGTGGATATTCATATCCATATTTATATCTGTAATTATCACCAGAAAAAAGATTGAGGAATGCCACTTCATATAAGACCTCTGATTCTCTACTGAGTTGTGATTCTTTGATTTGTTCTTGTTGATATTTTAGAGTAAATTAAAATAGAAGCACCCCAAAGTACTCCACAAAGAATGGTTCTTTTTTTTTTCTCTGGGTTTTCTGACTTGGCTGTGAGTACTTGAATGTTTAACAGGAAAGCAAGATTTTTTTCTCTAATTACGATCAATGTATCCTGCATAATTCCAAATTGTATTTTTGTCGCAGTGAATGCTTTATTCACACACTTATGAAAAGAAGTCTTGAACAGGTGTTTCAATGTCCTTGTGAAATTTTTTGTTTTGGAGGCAGAGCTTCATAATAAGGTAACTGGGTATGCCTTATTGTGAATTATGCACAAACCAACAAAGTTGGTTTGTGTATAACTTCTAATTTTAATATACTGATTTCAGATTGATAGGAATGTTGCAAGAATAAAACAAGGAACTCCTGAATGCTCTTTAATCAGATTCACCAGTTGTTTACATTTTGTCTCAATTGCTTAATTTTTCTCTTTATTTATATATAATGAATATTCTTTTTACAAAACAAATTAAAGATATTTGTTCTAAATACTTCAGGCTAGGATGGCCACTGTTTTATTTAATAAAACAAAAACAATAACAACAAAAAACCCTGCTCAACATAGAAGTGACATTTGAGATTATAAGCAATCCCCACTTTACAATTTTTCTGTATGTTTCACAGTTTATGACTTGAGCTCAAAGAAACAATTATTTCCTTTACACCCTCATCCAGTGTGCAAATGTGTATGTGTTTGACCAGAAGTTTGATCTAGAGAAAGGTTTTCTCCTTTTTGCTCATATTAGAGGCCCTCTGTTAACCCCTAACCATCTGTTGGGTTGATGAGTTAAAGATGGTGACCACCTCTTTCTGGTTCTTTCTGCCAGGCTGAGCTCCGTCTTCGTGGAAACACCTGTCACTCTGTTCACTATAGGCCATGGAGTCTCTCACAGCTCTCGACTTGGTGGGAAAGGTAATGCTCCCCACCCTGGATTCTGCTGTTTTCTGCTCTTGAAAAAATGGAAAAAAATTAAGTGGCTTTCTTCCTGAACTTAACATTTATGCTTCCTTCCAGTATATCAAGAAATTAAACCCTTTTAGGTGGGGTTTGCTTCTCCCTCTCTCTGATGTACTCCTATAGGTGCTAAGGGACTGAGTCAAAAAGTTCACAGGAGAAAAATCTGACTGGGGGACAGACCACCCTGGGAATGCCATCCCCAAATAGGAAGCAGAGTAGATGCTCAATAATTGCTCATTTTCTTTTCTGTTCACAACTGAAAAGAGATAGCTTGGTTGGCAAGCGTGGCTTTTGCTTTCAACATTTGGTCCTTTAGGGATGGTTTCATCCACCTGTGGGATGTCATCTCACAGCTAAACCTCTCCAGTCCTAAACTAACACAGTGTTCTGGGATATGAGAAGATGGTAATATCGGTTTCCTATTGTTAGAGTGCCTTCAGGTCCTTGTGTCTCAGAAAGCTCAGAGAGGTTTGTGGAAATGGTGTTTCAGAGCTAGAAAAATCCGAACACTGTCAGAAAGGGCAGCAGTTCCTAGTGCCCAGACTCCCAGGGCCAATATCAGGGCTGCGTGGCCTAGGCACATGGTGCTGTACTCACAAGGGTTCCTGCACTGGGCCTACTTCTCTGCTATCAATGTCCTGACATTCTTAATCAAGACGGGGCCTGCCTTTTCCTTGTGTATGAGACCCTGAAGTTCTGTAGCTTGGTCCTGCAAGCACCCCTTTCTTCAATATTTGTTCTCTGCTGGATCTCTTTGATGTGTCCCTCTCTATATCCTTTCATTCCTTATGGCTTCAAGGGCCCTTCTGCCATTTCCTGCTCACTCTACCCTCTCATCCCTCTCATTGAGAGTCACACTAGATGCCCTTGCATTGCCTTAGTCCTATGCTTAACAAAGGGAGGGGATGGAGAAGATCTTTGGGATGAACAAGTTAAAAAAATTACCGCCCTGCCTGGTGTGGCTCAGTAGATTGAGTGCCAGCCTGTGAACTGAAAGGTCTCTGGTTTGATTCCCAGTCAGGACACATGCCTGGGTTGGGGGCCAGATCCCCAGTAGGGAGCATGGGAGATGCAACCACACATTGATGTTTCTCCCCCTTTCTGTGTTCCTCCCTTCCCCACCTCGCTCTAAAAATAAATAAATAAAAACAATTTAAAAATCACCATGTGAGTGAAGCAGAAAAGCCTCACAGATGAGGCAGCATTCTATTTTGTATGTTTTCTTAAACTTTTAGTTTTTCCTTTTAGCTAGTCTGAGGAAATAAATACGGGCTTGGGAATAGGGGGTTCCTATTAGTTCTTAATTTAATAGCATTGCTTCCCCTTTTTACCCAGGCTGAAGGGGATGATAATTAAGGGGAGGTCATATTTATTTAGCTTGGGATACATGTAGAACAAGAGATCAACCTTGTGTATTGGTATGATTCCCATGCCTGAAGCCACTTTGAATATGTTAGAGGCCCAGACAGTTCTGCTGTCCTCTCTTCTTTGGGGAAGTCCAAAGTGGGAATAACTTTATGGAATAGATTTCCATCATCTAGTTTGTGGATATAAGTAGCCACTAGAAGAAGGGGTTTGGGGTGGGGAGGAAGTATTGCTCCCACCAGGGATTATTTCAGTAGAATCATGTATCTCAGCAAGTTGTACCTGGTGGGAAAGGAACTGTGAGAGTCAGAATAAGCAGCATCTTCACTTTCTTATGCAAGCCCAGAGGGTTCAAGTGACTTGTCTAAAGTCACGCAGTTGGTTGCAGAGTTGGGTCATTAACATGGGCCATGGATGTTACAGATCTAGACCTCTTTCCCCATGGCTTTGCCCCATAAATAGCAAACCCACCCTAGTGCTAGGCATTGGTCTCTAAGACAGGTAGCATAATTTTCAATGTGCCTGTTTTATTCCTCTTTCATTTACAATTGTATTTGACTCCTTGCCCATTTACTTTAAATTTTTATTTATTTCTTTTTAAGGTCTCACCAGGGCTGTGCAGGATATAACGACAGCAAAACCAAGACAAAAAGGCCTCCCCAAGAATGTTCTAAGGAAAAAGGAGATTATAGCTAAAGACAGAGCAGATGAAAGTTTGGAAAATGCACCACTGAGAGGTATGGAAGACACAGAACTGGTGCAGGTGGTAGTTAAAGAACAAGGAGAATCTAAGCTTGAATCGAAGGATAAAGAAGCAAGTCCCCCTGCCCCAGAAGGGGCTCCAGAGGACATGCCTGATGGCGGGCAGATAAGCAAAGCCTTTGGGAAGCTCTGCAAGATGGTCAAGGAGAGAGTGAGGAGCCCCAAAGAGCCCGAGCCCACAGCTGACCTCTACACTAAAGGGCGGTATGTGCTGGTCATTGGGGATGCCAGTTATACGGACCCTGGATTCTGTTCGTTGGCTGTCCCAACCAAGGGTAGAGTGCTTGTTTCCATTGAGGATGACTCTCTGCATCATGAGAGTGCTGTGGAGCCCTCTCCCGAGCAGCCCCAGCCCCCTCCGGGGGATGGACAGGGGAGTCCATGCCCACCCAATAAGCATACTGCAGACAACGAGATAAACACTGAAGAACTGAAAGGTCCCAGGGAGAAACATGGTGGTCAGAATGAGGAGGAAAAGCCCAGGAGGCCTTGTCTCATGGTCACACCGTGTCCAGAGGGACCATCTGCACCCCCACCACAAAGGCCTGGGGCCAGTCAGGATGGAGCTGTAAGTCAGGAAGATAGGAATGGCAGCCTGCAGGAGAGAAGCCCTCCCAGGACTTTGGCATATAAGAAGGTGGAAGTGATGGAATCCATTGAGAAGTTTTCAGCTGAGAGCATTGAGACGTATGAAGAAACCACCGTAATTCTGGAGACCATGATTGGAAAGACAAAGACAGACAAGAACCTGGGAGACCAGGGCTCTCACAATGCCTAGGCTTGTTGGAGAAATGCCTCTCCAACAGTATGGGCCACACTGTAGGAGGAGTGCTTTGATTTTGTAGAGCAGATGCTAAAGAGTGAAGGTTCCTGTTTGGATTAGACCATAGTTGGACTGTGTGGAATTGGCAAGGAAGCCTTAATTAAAAAATATATTTTGCTTTCACATCACTTGTCTAATTAACAGCGGCCTTGGGAATGTAGGTGGATCAACCATGCTCAGGACAGTCCACTCTGTTAAATGGCAACCAAACCATGCTCATTTAGGAAAGAGCCTTCCTCATGGTTCTCTGAGACTCATTAGAGACTCAGACAGTGCCTGGATTTCACACAGAAAATGCTAGTTAATGGCAGTGGCTCATTTTCATTGCATTTCAAGTCCAAGCACATGTTCACATGGAGGAATGTTTTGTTAAATGATTGAAGGTATCTGTCTTAGTTTGGGTTCTCCCAGAAGCTGATCCTGAAGCAAGGCTTTGAATGTAGTCTCTTAGGGATGCGATCTCAGGAAGCACCCATAGGGCAGAGTGATACAGGAAGAGAAGGCTGCCAGCAAGAGGTGTGTTACCAGGTTGGTTAGCACTGTGGGCAGCTAGAGCTCAGTCCCACTGAGGTCGCTCCCACTGGGAGATGACATAGACCATGGGCCACAGAGTTGTCCTGTGTGAGGGGTGAGGGAGTGGGGTTTTCATCCAGCAGCTTCTGTCAGCCAGTGGGGAGGGCTGCTCTCAGAGAGTTAACATGCAAACACATGGAAACGGAAAAGGTCATGGGGATATAAGCAGGGCACCAGTGCTATCTGCCATAGTGTATGTTCCAAATGTCCTTTTGTCTGACTTCAAATTTTCTCATTCAGAGATTACAATTCTACGTTGGGTTTCAAAAAACAAAATTAAATGTCACCTCATAGTTTCTTGTTTGGAGTTAATTAATGCAATAAGCATTTACTGAGCATATACTACATGCTAGACAGTGTGCCAGACAGTGTGATAAGGGGAGACTTGTTGATTTATTAATAATTACCATAATAAGCTGTGATGTAACTGTGTGTGCACTGTGTACATGTGCACACACACATGTGCACACAGGGGCCTACTGTGCCACGCCCCAGGAAATTTAATTATTTTAAATCAGAATCTTCACAGAAACTTTTATGTTGTCTTTAGATATCTATTTTTCTACAAACAGTCCAAAAGTAATTTTTTATTTATACTGATTAAGGACACTAATTAAGGACATTTTTATTGACACTGATTATTGCCTGTGTACATTCCCAAGATACATTAAGGGCACTGAGTAAATGTGCTTAGATGGATCAGTGCATCTGCCAAAACAAAAGCATCTGCTAAGACAACTACATATTTTAGAGGAAAGTTGACAGAGTCATAAGTTACATTCTCTTATTTCTTTGTTATGGATAATAGAGAGAACATTAAGTGGAGGCACCTTTCCTTTCTATGTAGAGCTTCAAAAAAATCTTGTTCTGAATTTTTTTGAGGTTTTGATTTCAAAAAAGAAATATGCTTTTGTTCTTTTTAAAAGATGAATGGAGAAATTACTGCATTGCAACATTTAAACATATTTATAATTTAAGAGCTTAAAAGAGAATGATGGAAACCATTAGCTGGAATTTAGAATGTACTAGGAATCTAGGAATTTGAGTCTGTGTGTGTGTACACATACATATATATGTGTGTGTATATATATACATTTATATGTATGTATATAAAATTTGGAATAAGCCACTGTGAACCTTTTTGTTTTCTCCATGAAGTTTTTTTTTATTTTTTAGACTATGTATTTAGTTAATATATTTATTAAAAAAAACAGGATATCTCTCTGAAAAGAAAGATGATTTATATATTTAATCAATCATCAAAAATGAATTGGGGCCTGTTCTGGGTCAGGCAGACATGATTCTGGGCACAGGGGAGAGAGCAGTGAGCAATCAGACGTGGTCCTGCCCTCACAGACATGATATTCTGGTGGAAGGATGCAGATAACTGAGTAAGAGAAGATTAGATAGAGACAGTACTATAAAGGACATCAACAGAGTGATGTGTAAGAGTGACTGGGAGTCTACTTTGGATTGGGTGGTCCAGTGAAGACCACATGGGTGAGGTGACATGTGATCCAAGTGACAAGACAGGCCAGTCATGTGGAGATCCGAGGGGAGAGCATTTCAGGCAAAGGGACTGGCTAGCACAAATGCCCTGGGGCAGTAATGAACTTAGCCTGTTCAAGGAGAGAAAATAAAGGGGATTATAGGAGGATATTGGAAGGAGGTGAGGTGAAGGAGGGAGGTAGGGACAAGGTAAACACCATATTCCACCCGAAATACCATATTCCACCATATTCAGGTGGCCCACTTCCACCTGAAAGCCAGTCTCTCAGTGTGAGATGTGGGGCTGTCTGCAGTGGATGCACTGGAGTCTAGTCGGGCTCTTTGTCCACCCTGGAGCTCCAGTTGCTGCTATTCCACTTTTCCTGATGCATTCTATTTTTCCCAAGAGAGCTGCAATGGGTTCATTTCCTGGCCTGTCCTCTCCCTGAGGTCTCCGAAAACAAGCACTTTAGTTTTATAAAAAGTATTTCTTGTTAGGAAATATGGGGGCTCAGAGCTGGCTTGCTAGTATCATTGATGACAAGAGAATGCTGAGCTTTGACCAGCCCTGAGATAGATGAAGTGGGAGTACATAGGTGCTGGGTCCTAGCTGTTGTACCAGAGGCCCCTGGCCTCCTCTTTCTGACTCAGCTTCAAGTTCAGCACTGATGATCTCCAGAAGTTGCATCCCTATGGAAAAGCTGTGTGCCAGCTCTCCACCCCTCCCAGTCTCCAAGCGTTCCAGTCGGTGACCAACAATTGCTGTTGTATAAACTGTCCTGGGTGCTGACCCCTCAGATCTCCCAAACTCTCTTTGTTTTGGTTCTTGCCTAGGCGCCCAGAGGCTCCAAGCCCACCTTTTTATACACTGGTGCCAGGCTGGAACCTGATAGCTCCTTCCTGCTTTGCCAGCATCTTCCTGGTAGGGGAGAGTGAGGGTCTGGAAGAGGGAGAAGGGACCTGTTCCCTTTGCCACAGCAGCACCTCTTCACTCACCAGCGGTAGCACTTCCTATAACAGTAGCAGGATCCACTTTCCAGTTTTTCCAGCATTTGCAGAACCAGCCTCATAATCATCTCCTCAGAGGTGATGTCCCTTCACAGAGGTCTGGGTTGTTCAGGGGCTGCCACATGTGTCCCCTCTACCCACAGAAAGGAAAAGCGAGTCAGAATGTGGAGGCCCCACCCCAGCATGAAACTTCACAAACCCAGGACCCCAGCATGATCCCAGTAAGCTTCTGACTCCCGCCTGCTTATATTAGGTTGCTTGGTTCTTGTGATACTAATTTTGCCTTTCTAATTAAGTAGGTAGTACTTCTTTAAACTACTCAGTTTATGGGGTTTTATATTTAATTCTCTCTGTTAACATCACTGCTGGGATTTCTGTCTCCTGGCTGGTGAAGGAAGGGGCGTGAAACAGGGAAGTGAGGTGCCAACAAAGGCAGTATTAACCTGCTGCCATTGCTGTGGGCAACTGGGCTTCTCTCCCACCGGAGACCCCCTGAAAAGACCTGGTAGATGTCTCAACAGAAGGCAAGGAAGCTGAGATCTTTCTGCACCAGCTCTGTCCTTCTTCAGGTGAAGTGGTCCTGGGGTGTTGATCTTCTGGCACGTCTTCCTATAGCACACCAGGTCTGGTGCATCTCTACAGCCAGAGAACACTCAGGCAGAGAGAGAGCACACGTTGACGTGCATGAAACTGTCTGCAGATTACCTCTGGGGTGGGCCAAGGAGATACTGGGTTGGCCAAAAAGTTTGTTTTTTTCTGTAAGATGGCTCTAGTTGCACTTAGTTGTCTTTAACTTCATTTGAAACAGTTTTGTAGATTGCATTGTGACAGCTGTCAAAATCAGCATGCATTAAAAACACATCAAAATTGGTGAATTTTTCTGTAGCCATTTTAATATTGAAGACAGAAGAAAATATGCAACATTTTTGGCATATTATGATTTAGTATTTCAAGAAAGGTAAAAATGCAATTGAAATGCACAAAAAAGTTTTGTGCAGTATATGGAGACTGTGTTGTGACTGAGCAAATGTGTCAAAAGTGGTTTGCAAAGTTTCATGCTGGAGATTTCTCTCTGGATGATGCTCCATGGTTGGATAGACCCGTTGAAGTTGATAGTGATCAAACTGAGACATTAACTGAGAAAAAAGTAATACTCTAACACGTGGGAGAAAGCAAATGTACTCAGAATATCCAAAGCAATAAAGTTATTGATGAAAGTGAAAAATGTATCTTTTATTTGAGAGAAAAAAATGGACTTTTTGGCCAATGCAAAGCTATAGGGCAGAAGTAGACAAATGTTTTGTATAAAGGGCCAGATTATAGGCTGTACAGTGTCTGTTATAACTACTCAAGTCTGCCACCGTAGCATGGAAACAGCCACAGACAACTGAAAAAATAGGCATGATTGTTTCCAATAACACTAATCCCCAGGATAGGCAGCATGCTGGATTGAGTCCCTGGGCTGTAGTTTGCTGATCCTTAATGTAGGCCATGCACCAACAGGGCCTAATGCAAAATTCAGTCTACATAACAGAAGACACTTCTAACTTGGCAACTCTTCCTACCTTCCCCCTTGATGTGGAAAGTTCCATTGAGGTCTCTCTTTGACTTGAAGCTTATAAGAAAAGATCTTCAAGCCAGCATTATATTCGTTTATACTAAAATTGTTGTATCATAGGTTTGTAGTTGGCATATTACTGGTCAATGAAGTCACCTTAAACTCACATGGCATTTAGCACATTGATGATGGAGGACACCACTCAGGTGCCCAGATTAACACAAGTGCTTGACTCCAATTTCTCATGCTTCAGTAAAAGCAAATAAATGCCACAAAAACTTAAGTTTTACTCAAAGAAGTAGGGTTTTTGAGATTTTTGAGATGAGAAGTACATTCTCCCCGGAGGTAGATCCTTGGTCAATAACTTTACTGTGCTGGTGCATTCACCTGTTACACACCCTTTCACCTGCATGTTTGTGTCCTTATGACCAGGAGCTTACCAGATGGCCTATCTGTCACCTGTGGTTAGAGGCTCCAGGACACGGGGCTCCAAGAGAAAAACACAGGTTGCAACCTCTGCCTTCTGTCTAGCTTGGAGTAGCTCATAGGGTGTCCCCTTGGGTGCAAAGGGCAGAGGGACAACTTTGAGGGTGCTCAAATTGAGATGGGACACTCAGTCCTGAAATGGTAAGGGTGGGTTGGCCTGAATCAGTGATGCTTAACATTGGACCTAAGGAATTCCCTGCCTTATTTGGCTGTTCTGGCATCTAAAACTCTGTGGGCTGAGATTTCTAATGGTCCCCACCCCACCCCAAACCATGCAAGACTTAATATTATGAATTTAGCAAGGCAGAGTCTCCATTTCTTTGGGTTAAATGCATTTCTTGTGGTCAGTTCTGAAATTCAGTGCCCAGGTTCACAGTGAATCTCTTCTAAGTTTTAAGAAGAAAATGAAGCTGGTGAGCTAGCTTGGAAGACTTGCCTCATATCAGACCTTGATTCCTTGTTGCTTGTGAATCCCAAACCCAATTCAATCAGTTTTTTGAACCAAGGGAAGAAACTCTTAGCAACAAAATGCCCAACACTCTAGTGGAAGAACTCAAGTATTAAGCTGATTAATTTGCAGTGCAAAGAAGGGGGCCATCTTTCCTAGAAATGAAAGTGTGGGTTACCCCCTCTCCTGGGGTTAATGTCCTTGGTAGGCCAAATAAAGTACCAGGAGGCTGTGGTTAGGCGTGGAATTAGACCACTAGCAGGAGAATGGTGTTTCAAGGCACTTCTCTGGAAATGGCTTCCCCAGTGTATTGGGCTCTGTCCTCAACAGACTGCAGAGATTGCAATTCCCCTTTTACACCAGCCTCTGTTTCCCTGTGCTTAACACTGCCATATACTGCCCGCCAACTTTTGTTTCAGATTCTCCATTTTCCTAAGCTTCCACCAGCTGAGTGTAGGTGGCTCCTAGCACTTTTTTGTTGATTCATTGCTTCTTTGCAGACAGAGAACCACCCAGCTGGCTACAACCAAATTACCTTCATTGGCCCAGGACACATTCTGTCTGATGTTATTCAAACTCCTGGAATTTTTAGAACTCCTTATTCTCTCCCACAACCTCTGTTCCTACTCTTGGATTTTTGATTTTTGGAAATTTCTATCAAATTAAATTCTTTGTATCCAGGAACTTACTCTGGCTGTGAGGGTAACAGTTTCACTAATCCACCATTTCTTTCTCTAAATAAAAGTGTCTTGTCTGTCTATGTGTTTCCTAAAGGTTTTGTAGTGTGTTATTTCATGTGATCACTTCAACTAATGAAGGCATTGATCACATAAAAACCACTGTTATTAATTTATAAGTGACAGTAACAATGACATGTATTAGTAACTCTGTAAGAATTACCATTTTTAATACTTAGCCTTTTGGAAATCAATCTTTGAACTTAAGTATTGAAAAGTAGTGTCTCAATTTGTGATAAAATCAGACTTTGGACCTAACATCTTTCAATATGTGTTTTAGTTATAAGCTCTCTTAAGATTTTACTAATTGGTATGATAAGTATTGTATCATAGGACACATTTGAAAATTGTTTTTACAATGAAATATGATAAATATATATTAATATTTTATTAACAACTATTAAGATTTGCTGGACTAGCATGTAGTCATATGGACTACAGCTAGTTTATAATATTGCTTATGGTACCTTCCATGAAGAGAGGTTGCCATGTAAATCAATACTTAAGAATATGTCTTAAGGACATGTCAGGCTCTTTCTGTGGCAGAGACTTGAATGCTCATCAAACATTCTGTTAGTTGTCTTATGTTTCCTAGTTGCTTAAATTTAGGCAAGGGTATTGGCCACTACTGGCCAATGCACTGTAAGTCAAGTGATGTGTATCTCCTTCAGGCTGAACATAAAAAAAGTAGGTAGGAGTCCTCCATGAGTTCTCTTCTGTATGGATTGTAACCACTTTGTGTTATGACTACAAACCATAAGATTGAAGTTTGAAGCAGCCCAAATTCCTGAGTCACTGCATGGAGGTCTGTGGCCTTGGGGAGTCACCTGAACCCTCGGTGGAATTTGTGTGAATAAAAATTAAACTTTTTTGTGATAAGCCACTGAGATTCTGGGGCTGTTTGTTACTACAGTATAGTATAACTTAGTTTGGCTTAAAGAATATATTTTATGATAATGTTTCTAAAAGATTTTGACCATGACCTATGACCTGCAATGAGAAATGTATTTTACATTATGAGCCAATTCACATACTTAGACATGCACACATACACATACCTCTGAAAAATACATTTCAGGAAACCATGTTTATTATTCTATTCTATTCTATTCTATTCTATTCTATTCTATTCTATTCTACAATGGTAGTCTTGTCACCACTAAATTTATTTCATTTTACAATCAGGGATGTAACCTGAGTTTTAGAAATGTTGCTGTATGTGTATGATTTACTTGCTAGTGATAAATCTTATACACACACATATTTATGAAAGCAGGCTTTTTAGATCTCTCCTTGGCAACTTTTTATTATCTGCTTCTAGAATGGATGGTCATGCTTTTATGTAATACATATCACATCCCACATAATTTCTGGAAGGTAATGTTTTATTGTTAAGTCTCCTGATTTACATGTTTTTTAAAATTTATTTATAAAAATTTTTCATAGGGAGTAACAATGTTAACTTGATTAATCATTATTATTTTCATTTTTTAAAATAAATGACATAAATATCTCTTGCATTAAGATCAGGGTATCATAAAAACCTCACTAGCTAGACATATTTAGTGTTAATACTAGTGCAAAAAATGGAATAGAGGCCAAATATTTTTATTTAGTACTATATATATTTCTATATACTGTATTCTCATATCAAAACTTGCCATTTCTATTAAGAAGGTGATAAGTTACTCTCTAATTTCATAAATTATACCACAACTGTGAAAATATGGACAACTATTTTATATTTTTGCTGCTATATAAGACATTTAATGTTTATACAGAGAGCTGCAAAATTACAGAGGTGATACAATGGGAACTGATGAACATTTTCACCTGAATTTCCACTGGCCTTTTTCTTCAGCCAGAATCATCTTGATATTCTCTGAATATTTTTTTAAAGATGAATATGGTACTGTTTCTTCAATAAATACACATACACACATTTTAGATATATGTGTGTATATACATTTATACAAGTGTATATATATATACACACATATACACACATGTATATAGTATACATGTGTGTATATGTATTTCTGTGTGCACTTATATGCACATGCACACATAATGTCCTTTGGTTTATTTTCAGACTGTAAATGTGAAATAAATTTTTGATAATTTCCATTTATTTTTTCTTTAAATTTAAACTGGTTTAAAAAGACCTTCACAACATGTAATAAATTTCTTTTAAAATAATAAATATTATTACATTTTAAAGCATTATACAGAGAAGATCATATGGTGTCGGAGAAGACAGAAATTCATGCCAACATGGGGCTGGGGAGAAAGAAAGAAAATGGATTTTTCAGACTTCTCTCTTAAAATCACAACCTTCATTGAATGGAAACTAATGTTCTGGTGTTGCTGGCTTTAGGGAAAGGAACTCGAGGGTTAGCTATGTGCTCCCAGGGGAAGAGAGCAATGTAGCCAAAAGTGGTTGATCAGTTCTTGGGACTGGGTGGGCAGGGGGAGTGGGGATGAGGAGACAGTCCTTGAGTAGGAAAACAAAGTGTTCGCAAGTCAGCATGTATCAATTTCTTTGATAATGAAATGTCATGCTGTCTTTTGGGGTTGACAGAGGAAAGGAATGTATCAGCTTCAGATTACCTGTTAAACACGCTCTGGATTGCTTAGTTGCCAACCTGGTAATTGTGCTTTCCCCCAGCAAGGGCTTCTCTTGCTTCCTTCAGGCCTCCCTTTACCTAGGGATGAGTTGGCATCCCCATTTTGGCAGAAAAGCCTCCACACAAATGAAGGTCTATGTGCAGACGGCTGTTCACATCTTCAGACACTCCCCTTTCACCCTCCACACACCAGTGCCTGAACAGAGGCCATTTCTCTAACACATCCCAGAAATCACAACAGGAAGGAGTAAGATATTGCCCTCCAACCATATGTTTTGGAAATCAAAGCTCAAGTTCACGTGTGAAAAACTGTCAAAAATATTCACTAGGCTTCTTGCTTATGTCAGATTAAGAAGTCCCAAAATGACTTAGGAAAAGAAATGTTCCTGGGTCAAAAACTATGATGACGTGTTGCCAGACCTGCCTTGCCTGTTTTTCTTTTGGATAGCTATGTGACAAACCCCAGAAAATTGGGGCTGAGATGAACTCTATACAGACTAAGAGTAATTTGGGCTCCTCTAGAATGTTTTACTGTAATTTGGAGCAGTAGCTGGTGAAAGGACAGCCAAGCTACATAGGTTTGTATTTGTCATGCTGGCTGAGTAGGACAAGTTATGATGTTGGCATTGGTGGTAATATTTCCAGTGCTCATGCTTTTTGACTCCTCTCCCTCAAGTAATTATGGCTCTCATGGATGTCATCTTTCAAGTCATGCCCCCTTCATCTACACCACTGAAGAAATCTTGCTAAGTTCAAAACATCTTTCCCCAAAGCATTTACAGCATCTCCTGTGCTTTAAGAGATTCAGAGCTCACACTTGATTTTCTTTTTATGTAACAGGTCAGTTGAGATCATGAAAAAACATTCTTGGAGTTACCATGTGTAGCTTTTTAAATGTATTCTCTTTTCTTCTCAGGTATGAAAAATAGAGAGGAAAGTTGTCCAAGTTTTGTTTGCAGATATCACCTATTTAAATGACACAAGTAAAGAACCTAGAGTCACAACTAGAACATAGGTGTTGGTGGGAACACTGTATTTGAGGCATAGAATAAAAAAAAGATTCCTTCCATTGTAATGAAAATAATCATTGACAGTGAGTGAAGCTTCAGATCAAGAAGTTGGAATTGCTTGCATGGGGGTGACAGTTGCTAGGTGCCTGACAGAGTATGGAGTGAGGGCAGAGGCAGAGATGGGGGAGGAAGGGAGGCACTGGAGCCAGGGTACAACACTAGTTCTTGTGCAGGATGCTTTTCAGGCTTCGCTCCACAGCTTCATCCAGCTCTTCTTCCAGCTCCTCCTTCTTGGACATGGCCAGCTTGGACTGGTAATCCCTCACAACCTGGTCAATGTAAGGGGCGCTCTGCGTACCATGCAGCATCAGTGTCCACTCCTTTAACACCCCCTTCTGAGGTGTGCTCCCAACAAACCCCAGCTCCAAGGTCCAGGTTCCTCGGGCATCTTCACCCCAAGTGTGGGTGGTCATGAAAGGCCACTTGTCAAAGCCCACCTTGGAGTCATCATCCCTTGGACGCCGACTCAGCAAAATGGACTTTGTACCCATAGGGGAAGTCATGTTGATGTTCAGGTCTCCTCTCCTGGTTGCATTGACCGTGATGACAGCTTGGACATGCTCAAGGTAGCGGACGAAATTTTCCTTTCCTTCACAGGCATCAGTGGTGAGGGTCAGCACCAACTTGCCAGTGGATGGTATTTTCCTGAGGGCAAAGTGATGAGAAGATATGGTAAGGAATGGGCACATTACACGAGGGATTTGAAAGGCAGCTTCAGGTAGCAGAAAGAACAAGGGTTTTGAGATTAATCAGACAGACCTATGTTAATTCCACCCAAGCTGTATGAGTGTGAACAAGTTACTTATTCCCTCTGAACCACTGGAATATAGCAGGTGCTATTGATGTCCCTCCCATTTATCCTAAGTCACCTCTGAGTTCCCCCACAGCTCTGGCTTCCATGTATCATAACTGCTTCCCACCTCAGGTATCGGCACCTCCTGGCTTCTCTCCTGGAGCTTTTCCCAGCTTCATGGAATTTGCTTAGCCTGTGTGCACGGCAACACAAAGTGTCAGGGATTTGGTCCTCAGGGACAGTCCTCTACCAGAGACTGGCAGAAAGTCATGGATAAGTATATCATAGCTTCTCTGTTCTTCAGTGGGATAACTCAGTATCTCCAGTAGGATTGAGCCTAGTTGCCCACAGTGGCAACTTGCTCACCAGTGTACTCTTTATTGTTTTTTATTCCTCTTCCTTGTCTCACATCTCAACTTCTCCACTTGTGTTTCTTGGTATCACTGTTCAAAACATTGGCAGCACCCAGCAGGATACAAAATTATTATCCAGAAGTCAGTTGCATTTTTATATGCCAATAATGAACTATCAAAAAGCAAAATAAAGAGGATAATCCCATTTATAATTGCTTCAAAAATAATAAAATGCCTAGGAATAAATTTAACCTAAGATGTAAAAGACCTGTACTATGAAAGTTATAACACATTGAAGAAGGTACAAATAAGTGGACACACATACTGTGTTTATGGATCAGAAGAATTAACAACATTAAAATGTCCATACTACCAAAACAAGCTACAGATGCAATGTAATTTCCATCAAGATATCAATGATATGTATCACAGAACTATAGGAAATATTTTAAAAATTTATGTTCAACCACAAAAACCCCTGAATAGCAACAGCAATCTTGAGAAAGATGAACAAAGTTGGAGGAATCACAATACCTGATATCAAATGGTACTACAAGGCCACAGTAATCAAAACAGCATGGTACCAGCATAAAAACAGATGCTTAGATCAATGGAACAGAATAGAGAGGCCAGAAATAAACCCATGCCTTTATAGTCAATTAATATTTGACAGAGGAAGCAAGTACATAATATGGGCTAAAGTCAGTTTATTCAGTGAGTGGTGTTGGGAAAATTGGACAGATAATACAGAAAAATGAAACTAGACCACTTTCTTATGTCACACACAAGAATAAACTTAAAATATAGTAAAGACTTAAATATTAAATCAGAAACCATAAAAATCCTAGAAGAAAATATAATCAGTAAAATCTTGGACATTGCTTGGAGCAATAATTTATCTGATATATCTCCTCAGGCAAGGGAAACAAAAGAAAAAATAAACAAATGTAACTACATCAAACTAAAAAGTTTTTGCACAGAAGAGGAAACCATCAACAAAATAAAAAGGCAACCCACTGAATGGGAGAACTTATTGGTCAATCTGATAAGGGATTTATAACCAAAATTTATAAAGAATTTATAACACTCGACATTAAAAAAACAAACAACACTATTTAAAAAATTGACAAAGGACCTGAATAGAAACTTCTCCAAAGAGGATATACAGATGGCCAACAGACATATGAAAAGATGCTCAATATTGCCAATCATCAGAGAAATACAAATTAAAACCATAATTAGATATCACCTCATACCAGTCAGAATGGCCATCATTAATAAATCACCAAACACTTCTAGCCAAGATGGAGGCATAGGTAGATATGCTTTGCTCCTTCCCACAACCAAAAGAAGTATGACAACAAATTTAAAAACAAGCTATAGATGCAATGCAATTCTCATCAAGATATCAATGATATATATCACAGAATTAGAAGAAATATTTTAAAAATTTATATGGAACCACAGAACTCCCAGAAAATTGGACTGCATAGAAGTCTGACAACCAAGGAGTTAAAGAAGAAACATTCATCCAGACTGGTAGGAGGGGTCGAGATGGGCACCAGGGGCAGTGAGGATGTGTGGCAAGGTGACAGACCATTTGAGTGAAGTGATGGTTGGTGGACCGGGCAGTCCCACATTCATGTGTGGATAAGCTTGAAGGGACAACTGGGGAGTGAGACAGACCACACAACCCAGGGTTCCAGTATGGGAAACTAAAGCCTCAAAACCTCTCACAGTAAAAACCTGTAGGCGTTGTGGTGACAGGAGAAACTCCCAGTGTCATAGGAGAATCTGTTGGACAGACCCACAGGGTCCTAAAACATACACAAACCCACCAACTTAGGAATCAGCACCAGAAGGGCCCAATTTTATTCTGGGTAGCAGGGGAAGTGATTGAAAGCCGGGCAAAAGCCAAGCAAGTGGCATTGTTTTCTCTCTGACTTCTCCCGTACACAGAGCACCAAAATGCAGTGATGGTGGTTTGCCAGCCCTGGCGAATACCTAAGGCCCCACCCCCTTACAACTTAACAGGTGCCCCAAGACAAAGAAATATGGCCCAAATGAAAGAGAGCAAAACTTCAGAAAGAGAGGTAAGCGATGAGGAGATATCCAACCTATCTGATGGAGAATTTAAAACCCTGGTAATCAAAATGCTCACAGAACTGATTGAGCTTGGTCAAATAATGAAAGAACAAATGAGATACCCGAAATGAAATAAAGCAAAATATTCAGGGAACTAACCATGACAGGAAGGAAATCAAGACTCAGATAAACAATTTGGAACAAAAGGAAGAAATAAACATTCAACTGGAACAGAACAAAGAAACAAGAATTTAAAAAAAAATGAAGAGAGTCTGAGGAACCTCTGGGACAGCTTGAAACATTCCAATATCTGAATTATAGGGGTGCCAGAAGGAGAAGAACAACAGCAAAAAATTGAAAACTTATTTGAACAAATAATGAAGAAAAACTTCCCCAATCTGGTGATGGAAATAGATTTCTAGGAAGTCCAGGAAGCTCAGAGAGTCCCAAAGAAGGGGGACCTAAGGAGGAACACACCAAGGCACATCATAATTAAATTGCCCAGGATTAAAGATAAGGAGAGAATCTTAAAAGCAGTAAGAGAGAAGGAGACAGTTACCTACAAAGGAGTGCCCATGAGACTCTCAGCTCATCTCTCAAAAGAAACGTTGCAGGCAAGAAGGGGCTGGAAAGGAGTATCTGAAGTCATGAAAGGCAAGGATCTACATCCAAGATTACTCTATCCAGCAAAGCTATCATTTAGAATGGAAGGGCAGATAAAGTGCTTCTCAGATAAGGTCAAGTTTAAGGAGTTCATCATCACCAAGCCCTTATTATATGAAATGTTAAAGGGACTTGTCTAAGAAAAAGAAGATCAAAACTATGAACAGCAAAATGATAATGTACAACTATCAACAACTGAACCTAAAAAACAAAAACAAGCTAAGCAAACATCTAGAACAGGAACAGATTCACAGAAATGGTCATCACGTGGAAGGTTATCAGTGGGGAGTGAGAGGAGGGAGAATGGGGGAAAAGGTACAGGGAATAAGAAGAATAATTAATAGGTACAATATAGACAGGAAGGAGGTTAAGAATAGTATAGGAAATGGAGAAGCCAAAGAACTTATATGTGTGACCCATGGACATAAACTATGGAGAGGGACACTGGGGGGAAGGGGGTGAAAGGAAGAGGAGGATAAAAGGGAGAAAAAAATGGTACAACTATAATAGCATAATCAATAAAATATACTTAAAATATAAATCAACAAACAACAAGGGCTAGTGAGGATGCGGCAAAAGGGGAACACTTATGAACTGTTGATGGAAATGCAGATTGGTGCTGCCACTGTGGAGATGCCTAAAAAAATTAAAATGGATGTGCCTTATGATCCAGCAATTCCACTTCTAGAATTTATCTGAGGAAACCCAAAATACTAATTTGAAAGGACATAAACATCCCTGTGTTCATCGCAGCATTACTTATAATCATCAAGATATGGAAGCACCCAAATCTCCATCAAGAGATGAGTGGATAAAATAACTATGGGACATTTACACAATGCAATACTACACAGGTATAAAAGGGAAGAAAATTCTGCACTTTGAGGCAGCATGGATGGATGTGGAGAACATTATGCTAAGTGAAATAAGCCAGTCAAAGAAAGACAAATTTTGTATCATATGATTTCACTCATATGTGGAATCTAATAAACAAACTGAACTAACAGGGGAAATAGAGACAGATTCATAGAGAGCAGGCTGACAGCTCTGTGTGTGGACGTGGAGGATTAGGGGTTGGGGGAATCAGGCCCAAAAGAAAAAGGACTCATGTACATAGACAACAGTGTGGTGATTGTGGAGGGAGGGGCTGCAAGGTTAATAAATGGTAATGGAAAACATACAACTAAAATAAAAAATAAAAAATTGTTAGCATCCAAGTCCCATGTCAGGGTCTACTTTTGGGACAACCAGACTGAGACAGAAGCTCATAGTGCCTTTCTTTTAAAGTGATAAGTACCTTGATAAATGAAGGTTCTTGCTAATGTAATTGTTATTGTCATGGAAAAAACCTGAAATTGGGTTAAATAATCCTAGAGAAGAACAGTCATTTGAAAAATCATGGAAATTTGGGAGTCTCATATTGGAACCCAATGAAGGGTCGGTCTAAGCATTTCATCTGTCTTTATGTACAACCAATCTCCTTTAAGGTTAGATGCTCAAAAGCTCTTGCACCAGAAACATAATAAAGGAAATTACTTCTGAAGATTGCATGGTGTAATGGAAACACTCCAGACTTTGGGAACAAAACTATTTGGGAGAGATTTTCTGCTCCTAACTTGTCAGGAGACCTAGGACAAGTTATTCAAATACTTGAAGTCTCAATGTCGCTGCAGGTGGGTTTTGTGAGGTTAAATAAGACCATTCCTGAGAACACTGAGCACGGTACCTGGCACATGATGTTAGTTCCCCTT